GCCGCAAGCGGCGTCGAACGGCCCTCGCCGCACCGCGCGACTCCCCGCACCGCGCGACTCCCCGCACCGCGCGACCCCCCGCTCCGCTACGAGTCCCCGCTCCGCTACGACTCCCCGCTCCGCTGCGACTCCCCGCACCGCGCTCCGCTACGACTCCCCGCACCGCGCTCCGCTCCCCGCACCGCGCTCCGCTACGACTCCCCGCTCCGCTGCGACTCTCCGCACCGCGCTCCGCTACGACTCCCCGCACCGCTACGACTCCCCGCACCGCTACGTCTCCCCGCAACGCGCGCCGCTACGACTGCCCGCTCCGCTACGACTCCCCGCACCGCTACGACTCCCCGCTACTTCCCGCTCCGCTACAACTTCCCGCACTGCGTGCCGCTACGACTCCCCGCACCGCTACGACTCCGTGCACAGCTACGACTCCCCGCACCGCGCAACTCGCCTCAACTCGCGATTCCCCTCCCCGTGACTCCCCGCGTGACTCGCCGCTCCGCAGGTGGCGCCGCCGCGCCATGATTTGCTATCGTAGCCATAGAACAATGTTTGTGAAATTGATCCGTCGGTGTGGCTCCCCATGTAAAGCTTTAGCTCGGTATGTAGGGGGCGCTAAAGAGCCAATGTAATATTGTACACACTTTCAGGTGACCCAGGCCCAGAAGTAGAACAATCGGGTCAAGTTAAGTACAAATCAAACTTTGTTTGTTCAAACGAGAGCTATTTTTATATAGCCAAAAAAGGTCACTATTTGCCGCTCCGATGCTCAAACATTGTTTCACTGATAAAAATTCCCTGAAGTCATTTTGAAGGTACATGTGTTGAGACGATCTGGAGCGATTTTCAGGCAAATCTGTGAAACGGCTGAGGAGGAGTCGCTTTCCAAACGACATGTGTGAAAATTATTGCTGTTCATTTATCCATTTTGCAGTGAAATTTATGGGCTCCCTGTTTGTCAGAGGGCGGGGCCATAATAAAACTAATTTCATGTCTTACCTTGTGGAATATGTGTACCAAATTTCATGGCTCTACAACAAACTTGACCTCAAAAACTCTCATAGGAGTATATAATTGGCTGTTGTAGGGGGCGCTGTTCTGGCATTTGAATTATTTCACATTCAAATGACCTACACCCTAGAGTTTAACCATGGAAACAAGTTTTGTGCAAATCGGACTTTGTTTGAGTAAACGGAAGTAATTTTTCTATTGTCAAAAACTGAAAAAAAACGCCACTTTTTGGCACTTCGCTGCTCAAACAACGTTTCACTGATCAAAATTCGCTGAAATCAAAATGATGGTACATGTGTTTAGACCATGTGGAGCAATTTTAAGGCAAATCGGTGAAACGGCTAAGGAGGAGTCGCTTTCCAACCAACATCTGTGAAAATGACATTCTGTAGGGGGCGCTACTGCTGCAATTTGATGTTTTACACTTTCAGTTTACCCAAACCCAAAAGTTGAACAACCGATTCAAATTTGGTGCAAATCGGACTTTGTATGTGCAAATGGTGGCTTTATTAGACTACAATTGCGCCCCCTACAACTTCAAATTTGAAGTCTCTTACTAGGGAACACAAAATTAATAAAGTGTTTGCAAGAACAGAACTTGTGGCAAAATTTTGTAAGTTTTTGTGCATGTTCAGTGGGTCAAATATGACATCAAACAACAGCAAACTTGTTCTTTCCCAGGTTTTCCTGGGCTAGAACAAGTATAATTAAAGCCGCAAGCGGCGTCGAACGGCCCTCGCCGCACCGCGCGACTCCCCGCACCGCGCGCACCACCCCGTGCCAAGCCACCCCGCACCACGGCGTCCCGCACCACGGCGTCCCGCACCACGGCGTCCCGCACCACGGCGTCCCGCACCACGCCGCCCCGCACCAAGCCGCAACGCGCCGCTTCACAACGCCCCGCACTACGCGCCGCACTACGCCGCACCACACCGTACCACGCAGCACCGCTCAAAGGAGGTGGCGCCGTTGTGTGATGATTTGTTCCCGTAGCCATAGAAGATTGTTAGTCAAATTGTAATGAATATAATAAGTAGAGCTGGTTTGGCTCCCCATGTAAACTTTGACTCAGTCTTTAGGGGGCGCTAATGGGCCAATTTCAAATATTTCGCTTTCACCTGACCTAAACCTTGGAGTTGAACAATGGATTCAAGTTTAATGCAAATCAGTCTTTGTTTGTGCAAATGGGGAAAAAATGTATGTTGTCACAAACGGCCAAAAAAACCCTCACATTTTGCCGCTCCGCTGCTCAAACAACGTTTCACTGATCAAAAATCCCTGAAGTCATTTTAAAGGTACATGTGTTGAGATAATTTGGAGCAATTTTGAGGCCAATCGGTGAAACGGCCGAGGAGGAGTCACTTTCCAAGCGACATGTATGAAAATGATTGGTTTTCATTTTTCCATTTTGCAATGAAATTTATGAGCTTCCTGTTTGTCAGAGGGATTAGCCATAATAACATTTTTCCCATGTCTTGACTTGAGGAACATGTGTACTAAATTACATGGTTCTACGACAATTTTGACCTCGAACCCATCCCATAGGCATTTTTAAATTGGCTGTTGTAGGTGGCGCTATAGAGCCAATTTCAAAATTTAAACTTTCAAATGACCTAGATCCAAGAGCTAAACCATGGATTCAAGTTTTGTGCCAATCACACTTTGTTTGTGCAAACGGAAGCAATTTTTCTATTGTCAAAAACTGAAAAAAAATACGCCACTTTTTGGCGCTCCGCTGCTCAAACAACGTTTCACTGATCAAAATTCCCTGAAGTCATTTTGATGGTACATGTGTTGAGATGATGTGGAGCGATTTTGAGGCGAATCGGTGAAACGGCCGAGGCTGGTTTGATGTTTGTGTGAGGTGTACATTTGCAATGAATGGGGAGCGTTTGTCGTCGCCACGGCAACAGGGTAAAAAATAAGCCTTGAATCAAGAGGGCAAAACAGATTTATGTGCAAAATTTCATACATTTTGAAAAAACTAAATTTGAAAATGCCCATCTAAAATTTTGAAATAGTCTGTAGGGGGCGCTAATGTGTCAATTTGAAATAATTCACTTTCAAATGACCTAGACCCTAGAGTTGAACAATGTATTAAAATTTTGTGTAAATCAGACTTTGTTTGTGCAAACGGGAGCAAATTTAATGTTGTCAAAAACGGCCAAAAAAAGGTCACATTTTGCCGCTCCGCTGCTCGAACAATGTTGCACTGATCAAAAATCCCTGAGGTCATTTTGGAAGGTACATGTGTTGAGATGATGTGGAGCGATTTTGAGGCGAATCGGTGAAACGGCCGAGGAGGAGTCGCTTTCCAACCGACATGTATGAAAACTTTTGCTGTTCATTTTGCCATTTTGCAGTGAAATTTATGGGCTTCCTGTTTGTCAGAGGGCGGAGCCATATTAATATTTTTTTCTTGTCTTGACTATAGGAACATGTGTACCGAATTTCATGGCTCTACGACAAACTTGATTTCTAAAAGTCCCATAGGGGTATTATTTTGGCTGTTGTAGGTGGCGCTGTTCTGTCATTTTTTGAGTCCCATAAAAATAAACACCAAAATATCAAATTTTTCGCCAGGTCTGATTTTTGGGCAAAATTTAACAACTTTTCATGCATGTTCGGGGTCAAATTAAGGCTCAAAGTGCAGAAGAAAAAAGAAAGAAAGAAATAAATAAATAAAAAAGGAATTTTTTCGTCTCGAGCAAAAACAATATAGGTTTCAATGGCACGTGATACATCATTTTAAAGCTTTTGAGTTTACGCACGCAACCGTCACGTTTTGGTGAGTGACGGGCGCTGACGCGTCCGTCACGCACCGCCACCATTTGTTTTCACCATTGTGAAAGCAATAGGCCCTTACCCCGTTCGGGGCTCGGGCCTAATAAATAAATAAATAAATAAAAAAGGAATTTTTTGTGACTTGTCTCGAGCAAAAACAATATAGGTTTCAATGGCATGTGATTCATCATTTTAAAGCTTTTGAGTTTACGCACGCAACTGTCACGTTTTGGTGAGTGACGGGCGCTGACGCGTCCGTCACGCACCGCCACCATTTGTTTTCACCATTGTGAAAGCAATAGGCCCTTACCCCGTTCGGGGCTCGGGCCTAACAAGTTTACTATGCCTACTCTATAATGCCTTGCTTTTCCCATACCTGAACTACATCGCAGAGATATGGCGAAACAATTATTCATACCATTTGCATATTCCAGAAAAAAGCTATTTGCATAGTAAATTATGCAGGTTATTACGCCCCAAATAATTCACTGTTTATTAAATTAAAAATGATTAAATTTATGGATCTTAACACAGCAATTGTCATGTACAAGGTCCACAAATACATGCTTCCCGATTGTATCATGGACAGATTCAAGTTTAGAGAAACTAACTATGACTTAAGAAGAACAGGATTATTTCAAAAAGATGAAGAAAGGACTAATAAAGCAGGTGTATTTCAGATAAGGGAGTCGATCTCTGGAACTGTCTGGATGACGTGCTCCAAGAAGCCACAACATAAAATATAGACAATTATATGAAGATAGAATTATATAAAAATAGATGTTCAACTAAAACATTATGAATGATGATTGGTTGTTTTGTGAACTGTCGCCAGTTATTCTGGATTTGTAAAAAAGTTTAGGCAAAAAAATGAATACACTTCGGCCTAAACTTTTTCAGTCAGAAGAATGTTTTACAATATAAACAAGAAAATGTATGAATAATTTTTAGGTTTACAACTCCTACTACTAGTTTTCTAAAAAGATGAAGACAGCATGTTGTAGCCAGAGTTGTTCACAACGTTTTACCTTTACAAGACTCTGTTGGTAGGTACAATTAGAAACTAAGTAAAAAATAAAGTTACTAGCCACCTCTGCATAATATGCTATGATATAGGATAACAATGTTCAACGCGATCAAAAAAGGCTTGACCCGCTTCATCAACACTGTTCCTTTTGTTTGATAGATCAAAGACCCAGTGCAGTAACCTCTGGATGTCTGCAATCTCCGCGCTGAGCCGTTCTATCTCCTCCTTCTCTGTTGCAATCTGTCGCCTCAAAACCTGCTCCAGAGAAATCAGCTCCTCCTGCTCAGTCAGGATCTCGTTCTCCTAAACATAACAACACACAAACATGTAAGTAATGTTTATTATACAGAATATTTCAGAGAAATCACACAAAGTGCTTTAATTCAATTACATTCATTTGTGTATAGCCCTAAATCATAACAGCAGTCGCCTCTGAAAACTTCAAAGTTTTCACTAACAAATGAGCATCAAACAGTTCGAACTGAAGAGATGCAATAATAAAACACGAAGGAGTCAATTGGTCCAGTAACTTTCATTCCCTCTACTCACGGTGATGTACTTCACCATCCGTTCACTCGCTCCTTAAATTCAAACCTGTTGTATATGTGGTAAAACCGGAGCACCCAGAGGAAACCTACAGACACGTAGCAAACCCTACACAGAAAGCCCCCGTCTGCTGGTGGAATAGAACCAAGGGCCTTCTTGCTGTGAAGCCCATGCCGCGTCACAGACAAAGCCTCTCCAAAAGTCAGAAAGTGCTTCATTTATTAAAATTGACGGCAACAGGAAGGGGAGCGCACACATTTCTACACATTTTCTATTTGTTTATAAAATAAACTTAAAAACTACACACCTGTTTTAAGAGCAGATTGATCACTTCCTCTTCATTCTCTGTCATTTCCTCTTTAGAAACGTCCTCCTTCGACAAACTGGCAATTTCCTGGGCAATCTTAGTCTCACACTCCTGAAGAAGGGAGAATTTGAAATCCAAATTTTAGAACATGATACAGTACATAGATACATGTGTACCGTACTTTTCAGGTTATTTACACAATACTTGTCAAGTGGCTCAAAACGCACGATTTGCAGCAAATAATTTTATGTAAGGTTGTATGTGTGCTAAAGGTCCTCTGGAGGCTTAAAAGAGAAAGAAAGGCAGAATTCTTTGTTCAAATTCTCTCTGGTCTCGCAGTCTCCTCTCTGTCTCGGTCTCCTCTCTCTGGTCTCGCGGTCTCCCTCTCTCCCTGCTTGAATTCAACTGTGTTCCATTTATGTATAAAGATTACTTTCTTTTAAAATGCAACAAACACGAGATGTACAATTATTTGAATCTCCTTTAGTGAAACTGCACCTGTCTCTTTGCTTCCCGAAGTTTTCGTTTGAGTGCCGTCAAAATCCGCTGCACTTCCCAGAGTCGCTCTTCTTTGGACAAGTCCTTCACTCCAGCCTGAAGGTCCCTGTGCAGCCGGTTTATCAGAAACTCCTGAACAAATATAAAAGAACACCATTTAAACACATTAAAAGAAAAAAGAAAAAGGGTCTCGCACAAGGAGTTCAAGTGGAGCATTTTTTTTTTATTTAGGCTAATCTTCTAAGCGAAATATATTTATAAATGTGTGAGGGATCATGAAAAATCAAGTTGCTTATTTGTTATTACCTAATAATGGCAGGTCGTAGATTTAGGTGTAAACATAGACAGTATATAGATTGACAATGCTAACACACTAGCTCAAAGAAGACCAATAGGGAAGAACTCATGGATGCTTCTAATGGCTAACGGCATTTTGGGCTGAGTGTTTGTATTATGATATTGTCTATTGCCATATAAAGTCTGCTTTCAGGGAGGGGGACCGCAGGGGCTACGAAGCAGCCAAATATCAGTTCAGGGACGAACTGAAAGCGGCCAAGTCCCGGCACAAAGAACGACTACAGGAGAAGTTTGGTAACAACGATACTGCTTCCGTCTGGAGGGGCCTACAGGAGATCACGAACTACAAGCCCAAAGCTGACGACCACAAGCTAGCTGACGACCTGAACTTTTTTTTCAGTCGCTTTGATGCTGCCCCTGACACCTCCCCCACTACTCTAACGACCCACCCATCAGCCCTGCCCCCACCCTGACAATAGCCTCTAAAGATATCAAACAACTCTTCTTGAGGCTGCACCCCCGCAAAGTCTCCAGCCACTCTGAGACACTGCGCCAGTGAGCTTACTCCTGTGTTCACTGACATTTTCAACTCCTCTCTGCAGTCTTGCCATGTCCCGGCCTGCTTCAAATCCTCCATCATTGTCCCCGTCCCGAAGAAGCCCAGGATCACAGGACTCAATGACTACAGACCTGTAGCACTTACGTCTGTCGTCATGAAGTCATTTGAACGCCTGGTTCTCTCCCATCTCAAGTCCTTCACCTCCCCCCTCCTGGACCCCCTGCAGTTCGCCTACAGAGCCAACAGATCTGTAGACAACGCCATTAACCTGGCCATCCACCACATCCTACAGCACCTGGACTCCCCGGGGACCTATGCCAGGGTCCTGTTCGTGGACTTCAGCTCTACCTACAACACGATCCTGCCATCCCTGCTCCAGGACAAGCTCTCCCAGCTCAACGTGCCCGATTCCACCTGCAGGTGGATCACCGACTTCCTGACAGACAGGAAGCAGCGAGTGCGTCTGGGGAAGAATGTCTCGGACTCTCGGATTATAACAGGGCTGTGTTCTTTCTCCCCTGCTCTTCTCCCTGTACACCAACCACTGCACCTCCAGCCACGACTCTGTGAAGCTGATCAAGTTTGCGGATGACACCACCCTCATTGGACACATCTCCAACAACGATGAGTCTGCCTACAGGAGGCAGGTGGACCGGCTGGTGTCCTGGTGCAGTGGTAACAACCTGGAGCAAAACGCCCAGAAGACAGTGGAGATGATTGTGGACTTCAGGAAGAGCACTGTCCCCCCGCCCCCACCCTCCGTGATGGACTTCCCCATCACCTCTGTGAAGTCCTTCCGTTTCCTGGGCACCACCATCACCCAGGACCTCAAGTGGGAGCCGACCATCAGCTCCCTCATCAAAAAGGCCCAGCAGAGGAGATTAATACCCTACACATTCAACGATCGCAAGTGATGACGGCGCATGCCGGCTTTTTCATGGTGTCACTCGCGTATTCGTCCCGGAAACCGGATTCGTCCGGAAGTTCAGTTTGCGCATGTCAAAAAGTTTAATATGTCCTTAAGTGGTGACTGGTTAAGTTTAGGCGTCTGATTAAGATGGTTAAGGTTAGGGTTAAGGCTGGGTTGGGGTTATTTTATGGGAATGGCTGGTTAAGTTTAGGCATGAATAGGTAGTTTTTTATATGTACTTCCGCCTTACTCCTACAGCTGAAGTGGCAAACAGAATAGGCAACTGCCACTACAGTAATATATGTATGTTTTAATTTCCCAAGTGTGACCTGTGGTTGAGTAAAACAGAGCATGTGAGCTTGTGCTATGATGAGGTCAAACTTCTTAAAATTGTCTTTTTGTCTTATCAAAAGAGCTTTTAATTTCAGTGAAAATCTATCTGACTTCTATTACCGCAATAGAATCTCCAATTACTGTAATGATGTGAATACAGATATCTCACCCGCTCCTGTCCGGCTGTATCCCAGATTAAAAATTTGTGTAGTTCATTCCCACTTGGAACCGTTTTGGTCAAGAAAGAAGCTCTGCAACAGAACATATAACAGGTAGTTTGGTTGTAAGGAACGTCTTTTTTATACTTAAGTTTGTACTTAAAGTGACATGGTGTGTGGGCTCGGGATGGTCCTGTCTGAACTGTTTATATGTTTAGTGCCTAGCTGAAAGGGGATAAAAGGTATGTATTTGAATGTGATTTATATGACTCTTTGAATGCCTTACTGATTCAATGAATTCATGGTTTTTAGCTCTTATGGTGATTTTGTGCGATGAAAATAAAAGGAGAAAATGGGCACATTCATCAGTACGAGCATTCATTAAGCTAAGTGCGCTACATTGGTTCTATCACTAGTTGTCACACAATTGTGGCCTCTGTAAATCTTTTACTCACTCCCTCAATCAGCCAATCAGCTCCCAGCCCATAGTGTCAAATGGTGACTCACATGGAGCACAGGGCCTGGACTCCTGTTAGTGCCCAGAGTCCGGACTAAACATGGGGAGGCTGTATTTCAGATTCATGCTGCTAAAATCTGGAACAATCTTCCTGAAAGTGTGAGACAGGCCTCTTCTCTGACAATGTTTAAAACAAGGTTAAAAACAGTTCTGTTTAGCTGTGAATACAACTGAGGGATTTTATATTTTTATATTTCTTTTGAATGTACTGTGATTATTTATGATTTTAATGCTTTGAGCACTTTGAGTTGCCTTTTGTATGAATTGTGCTATACAAATAAATTTGCTTTGCCTTGCCATGGCTGCAAAAGATAACACACTTAATGAGAGGAGAACAGCATGCTGTGGTTTGACTTGGTTATAACATTTTACTTACAGGACTCATTCCGTTTACACACACAACATGTATTACTTATGAATGAAAACAGTTGGGTACCCGAGCTCTCTGGAGACTTTTGAATGATATATTTGAAAATTGTCTGGTTTCAGGAGCTTATTCTTATTGTCTTACCCTATTGTGGGGCTGATGTTGTGATCAAAGTGGTCCTGGACGAATCTGCAAACAATACTGGACTTCCCCACTCCTGTGTCCTGCAAGAGAGACCTTTATTGATTATGACCATAGATTCAACTCATATAAGCTACTACTTTTTCCTAGTTCTTTGAACCCTGCGGCTTATAGAGCGGTGCAGCTATTATGTGTAATTGTGGTTGTGGTACAGTTGTCAGAGCAGAGTTTATGGATTATTTTTACATCAAGTTTTAGTAGCTATACAACACTTACCTATTATCAAAATAGTTGACTGTTAAACACTTCATAATAATTTAATCATGTTGTAACCAGTTAAAACAGACGTCCATCTGTTACAACATGAAAACCTGCAGCTTGTATTCCAGGTCTGAGACCTCATTTCAAGTGTAGTCAGTGGTACATTCTTAACATAACTTTTGTTAATTAAAGTAAACAAAATTAATTTCCATATAGCCCTAGATCACATCAGCAGTTGTCTTGAGGGACTTTACAAAGTCGTGGATTCGCCAACAACAGATCAGAGAATCAAACAGTTCTAAGTCAAACACAGGAAATGCAAAAACAAAAAAACACATAGAACCCATTGGTCTATAGGGAGCGGAACATTTCCACTGTCCAGAAATGTTAATAAATGTCCCAGATTATCACTGTCTTTAGACCATCCTGCATCGGCAAGGAACAACTTGGAAAAAATTGAAACAGAAGAAAAATGTGAAAAACGGGCAGACGGGTTATAGATTCAGGACTCAGGCAGTAGAAGGAGGACTGAGGCGGGAGGGGGGTCCAGTCCACAAGTCTGGGCCAAGGTGAGACCAGTTCACCAGTGACATCATTACTATCTGGACTTTTGTCTCCATCAAAAAATGTGTACGACTGTCCATGATAATGTAATAAACAACAACAGAACTTGCAGAAATTAATAGTGTTCAACCTGTTCACACAATGTAGGCTGGCGAACAGTCTTGTCGGTGCAAAGTTGTTTTTTTGAGTTCTTTACGCTGTGAGCAAAATGCTTTTAAATACTATTATCAATAAACCTGTTCATTTGAACAATATTATTAAGTGTATTAATACAAACATGTAAACATACACCAATACATATGTCACAGGTTTAAAATGTGACCAAGAAAAAGGGCAAAGTTAAAAGAATAAATAGGTTTTTAATAAAAGCAGATTAAAAGAAATAAAACGTTTCAAAAAAGAAATAAAAATTTATATTAAAAAGGCCTGGTCCATTGGGTTCCCGTACTGGACCTGCCTCCCCGGGGTCACGCTGGGTTTTCCAGGGTCTGCGTTCAGTCTCCTCCGGGCTTCCGCTCATGGCTTCTACGCACCGGGAGGGGGCCACGCTTCTCGCGCCGGGTGCCAGGCTCCACACGTCGGGAAACAGGTATTCAAGGTTCTCTGTTCCTGTTCCTTTTCCGTTCTTTACGTTGCGTTCTCACCATAGACTGTAAATATAAACGGACGTAGTCACGCCTATCTCCGCCGTTCAAACTAATGGGCCAAAAATGTTGATCTACTGGAGCTTTCCAAAATGGCCGCGAGTGGTCCCGCCCACAAGAAAATTGTGAAAAAACGCATCTGCGCATGCGTCAGCCGGCAAGAGCTCCATTCATTTAAACGAGTGCCTTCAAAAATTCACAGCAACTAAACAAACCAGAGTGGTCCAAAAAAAAATCACCCCCCTCAGCATTGACACACATATTGAACGGAGCTTTGGGCCAAGAGCCAACATTTGGACCATCCTGTAAAGACGTTTTCGAGAGGTAAGAAGATGCTATATGTTAGCATTGGCTAATTCTTATTCCGGGTCCACCCCCATCGGCCCGGGGTGATATTCAGCATGTCAGCGCACATTATTTTGGCCACTTTTGAGTGGCCAAAATGACCCACCCCCACTGATCTTCAGGGTCAAAAATCGATTTGTTGTTGCGTACCAGGATTAGGCACGGAACAGCTCATTAATAGGATTCAGTGCACCCCTAGTGGTCACCCCCGGGACATGCACCCTCTACATAAAGTAGTGTTTTGCAAAATACTACCAACTACCAACTGAGCTGTCGACAGTAGCTCAGTTGGTAGAGCATTGGCCTTTAGGCCTGAAGGTCGTGGGTTCGATCCCACCTTGACACCGACTCCCACTGATGTCTGCTGTCGTTGTGTCCTTGGGCAAGATACTTAACCCCACTTTGCCCAATGCCCCCGCTGAAAGATCAAGGCTATGCTCACACTTACAGAGCAGCGGTCCTCCTGTGGACTCACCACCTGCAGGAGGATCAGTGAGGGGCTGGTGCTATGTGTACTGGGTGGCATCTCTGACTGTGATCCGCAGCTGGGATTATGTGCAGGACAGTCTACAGCGGGAGTGATTAAAGGACGTATGATAACTCCACTCAGCGGCTGCGTGTGCGCGCGCGTGTCCTGTCTTGTTGTGGTCTAAGCAAGCCCCGGCGATCCAAGATGGCGCCCTATTCAAATGAATGGTTGTGCTCAGTGGCGCTTTGTGACGGCATGGGTGCTGAAAAGATTAGCGGAAAATGCCTGAAACTCGCAAAGAACTTTGGGAAACTCGCAAAGATCTATGGGAAACTCGCCTGTATTTGGGCATCGTCTGGTCCTCCCGGTTCTGCGCAGTGGATGATCTCCCATAATGCGTTGCGCCAAACACGCGTGTGTGGGTCTCACACCGGGTCTCACGCACGTGCACAGAGGGGCTCGGCTGCGCTCTGACCAATCAGAGCAGTTCATCAGAGCGGGGGTTAGAGCGAGAGCCAGACGAGCAGAGTTTGTGGCACTAAAGTGTGGATTTAAACAAAACCGAAGGATTTAAGAAGAAAAAAAGTTCAGGATGACAAGGGACACTAAAATCCCCACAAAATCCGACCTTTATGAAAGCTGTAGGTTCTCTGTCAGCTGAGGTTGAGCTGTTTTAATATGCATTGAGTTCTATGGGGAAAATTTCTGGGTAGCCCACGTGAATTTAGTCTGGTCTAGTCTGCAGTACCGCGAGAATCCCCTGAGCACATGAGTTATTCAGCTACAAGCTAGTAATACCCTATCCAGTTAATATAATAGATCCATGGGTCTAAGGCCAGATCTCCGTCTTCCAGCTGCCCACGCATCCCGACAACTCCATGCTGTGCTAAGTAAAAGGGACGTTCCCTGGTTTTCTCCTTGCCACGCGTGTGCATGTGGTAATTGGTGTGTCGTGTCTGAGGCCCCGGTCTGTGTGTCTGCAGCTCCTGCCAGTGGTGTGACAGAGGTGGTCGGAGGTGGTTCTGGTCCAGCTGGGGACTAGATCTGGACAGTGGGCTGTGGCAACCTGGGGGCTGGGCCGCATCGCAGGGTACTCCGTGGCCGCAAGGGGGCAGCATTGGACAAGCAACAATGGACGCCCGCTGAGTTGTCCTCTAGTAGACCTTTTTTAAGTCAGCACTAGATCATATACGGAATCGGGACGGAAGCGGAAGTAAATATTACAAACTACCTATTAATGCCTAAACTTAACCAGCCATTCCCATAAAATAACCCCAACTCAGCCTTAACCCTAACCATAACCATCTTAATCAGACACCTAAAACTTAACCAGTCACCACTTAAGGACTTATTAGTCTAAAAACTAATTCGAAAGTAGGATTGTTACTTCCGGTTTCGTCCCAATTCCGCATATGATCTAGTGCCGACCCTTTTTTGTGTGTAACATTTTTATTGGGTTTTAAAATGAGCACACAAAGCAATGATCATGCACTTATTCTTATGACACAATTAGCTCCAACGCACAGGGAGTTGTGCAAAAGGAAATATCAATATCATTAACAACAAGATCAACCTGGGTTTAATTGATTTAATATAATGTGCATGGAAACACGTAAATGCAGATCAATCTTTGACACAAAGTTGTTGGAGTCAACAAAAAGACTTGAGGCTGGGGAGGAGATTTACAACCATCAGGACAATTTCCCTATGCATGAAGACTTTTCATACAATGGAATGGCTAGGAAAGTATTTGTTAAGCGCAGTTCCTACACAAGGCAACTGAAAGTGCTTAACAAAACAAGATGGAAACATTCATACAAGACATTAAAATAATACAGAATAGAGAATAGACTTTAAAGCAGCTCTGCATGTGTAAAAGTCTCTCCATGGCCTCGCACCAAAGCACATGTTAGTGCCATATGACCCAACTAGGACTATGAGCAGCACAGGGACTGGCCTCCTGCTGGTGGCGGTTACTGAGCGAGAGGTGTCAGAGCCAAAGCGAGTTGGAGCAAAACTTTGTTTGTGAGCACTTGCATAGTCTTCATTGAGCTAGGGGGTTAGCATTGTCAATCTATATAGTATATGAGTAATACACAAGTACACAAAAATAAAGATTTTTGTTTAAGCAAATATTGAAAGGAATACGTTAATTGAACAACATATATTCATATTCATTCATATGTTTGGCCTGAAAGTTAAGCTTATCAAAGTTAAATCAGACACATCTTTTCCACCTGTTTTGGTGTCAATAACATATAGTCACATGCACTTGAAACTTCACATTCTTACAATGTGTACAGTGTGTACAGATCTACGTATTGTTTGTCTCATGAAAATTTAAAAATATATATATATATTTTTGAAAGCTACAGGTATCACCACCTGCTATCTCATCAGACCTTTGAAGCTAAGCGGGGCAGGGAACCATAGACTGTAAATATTACTGGGAACACCAAGGGCTACTATGGGCTGTTGTGGCTGCAAAGTGCCAAACAGATGAAGTGGCTTGCCTAAGGACACAACAACAATGTTAGAATGAGTATGGTGTGTGCATGAATGGTTGCTGGTGGTCAAAAGGGGCTGATGGCACTACTGGTCACTTCGGTCAGTCTGCCCTAGGGCAGCTGTGGCTACAGTAGTGTAGTAGTAGTAGTGTATCACCCTGTGTATGTAGTGAATTAAAAAAAGATGTGACTTTAAGCGCTATATAAAACCCATGCATCATGATTGTCATTAAAACTAACGGAGTTGTCTGCGAGTGACGTAGTGGTTATCACGCCATGGTAAAAAAAAAGAAAAAAAATAGAAATATCCCTCAAAAATGATCAAAAATGCATGAAATGCATTGAAATGAACACTTGTAACCCGTCCAACCGATCAGAAAAGGGAATTCCACTATTGTTTAAAGACGACATAAATGTACTGTACTTTTTACACAGTATCTCACTGCAAAGGGATGCATCAAAGTTATAGACAAGAAAATGTAACAATGTGTTAAAACGTGATAATCTTTGTGTTCATCGGCTTAAATGAGATGTAAAAGTGTTGGAGTAATAAATGTCCCGGTGATCTGATGCTCGTAACTATTGAAGGAATGTCTCTTCAGCGGTCTGTCTGTATGAGCAAGTCGCATAACTGTGTCTTTCTTACCCCGAGAAGGCAGACTTTGAGCTCCCGTATGGCCATAGCTACAAAGAACGGCGTCTACAGCATATTTTGTTCACGTTAATTCGCTGTCTTTTGTGTTTTTGTCATGGTTTCAGGGTTTGGGCTTTTTTCCTCTTCTTCGCGAATAAAACAGCACGAACAGCACCCAGCCCAGCGAGAAGCGGAAAAGGATTTTCAATGTAAAGATGTCCATCACACACAAGAAGAGATCTTCAAAATAAAGGAGGGAGTGACAATGAGATATTGTTCTTTATTTAATTCATTCACGTCACATTTTTATTGGAGCATATACAGAATGGGAGGCTGCTTTTATCCATTGCCCAGACTTCCCTCTCCACCAACGATTCCTCCAGCTCATCCGGGGGAATTCTGGAGCGTTCCCAGGCCAGCTGAGAGACACAGTCCCCCCAGCGTGTCCTGGGTCTTCCCCTACTCAAATGGTTCGTAACTGCGACCTCATCTTTTCGGCTTTATCCTATTACCCAGCGACCAAAGGTGAGGGAGGGGACGGAGATAGAGCGGCAAATCGAGAGCTTTGCCTTTTGACTCAGCTTACTCTTCATCTGACACAGTGACTGCATCACTACAAGAAGGTAAGATACGATAAGATAGACTTTATTGATCTCACACAGGAGAGATGTCACAAATGTGATGTCACATGTCACATTTGGCATAGATAGAATCACTCAGATTTGTGCAAAAGGCAGAAGTGTGCAAACATGTTAAAGGCAAAAAATATAGTCTGTTCAAGATGTTACATAAAAGGATGTAACATTATGTACAATAAAAAGTGGCAATTAAAGAAAGAGTGGCAATAGCAGTGCGGGTTTTTAGTCCTAGTGCATTAGTGACTTAAAGTGACTTTTTGTACAGTCTGACAGCAGTAGGGATAAAGGCCCTGGTGTAGCGCTCCTGTGGGAAAGTGAACTGAAGTGTTTTTATGGTTTTATTGCATGCATTTTAATCAGTGCCTTGGACACTTCCCTTAATCAACCCCACCTGTTTTTAATCATGAAGACCTTTTAGTTGGGGGCGGGCACTACAGCCAGTAAGGAGACAGAGAGTGCTGAGGCCAGAGCAGGAGGACACGGGACCGGGCCAAGGACGAGCACGAGCACCGCCAGCCAGAGACCACGGGGGACTGAGGCCAGCGGTGGGAGCGGCACCGGTGAGGGTGCGCGCATTGACAGCGCAGAAGGCGCGTGCGCGCCCGGGCTAGGCCCACGGACGACCGGGATGTGCCGGCTGTCCCCCGCGGGTGCCCGGTGACGACCCGTGGTCAGCGAGGGGCTGGCGGGACTGCGGCCCGGTCCCGGGAGAGAGAAGAGCGGAGGCCATGCAGACGGATGAGCGACTCTGTGCTTTTATCATCTTTTTAATGGACCTTTTTATAAATATTCTATTAAATTTTATCCCCTTTTTTTATCTGCTTCTGCTTTTTATTGATCACACCCCCTCAACAGACACTTTTAAACCTGTGACACTCCTTCTTGCACTGAGGGTGCCTCAGTCTTCCACTGAGGGAAGTGGAGCAGTGCAGTGGGTGGGAGGTGTTGTCCATGATGGAGGTGACTTTGACTAGCACCCTCCTGTCCCTCACCTCCTCCAGAGTCCAGGGAGCAGCCCAGAGCGGAGCTGGCCCTCCTGACCAGCTTGCTCAGTCTACTCCTGTCCTGCTCTGTGCTGTCCGGGGCCCAGCACACGGCAGCGTAGTGTATGGTAGAAGGTACCACAGAGTCATAAAATGTCCTGCTCACTTCCTTCCTCTGGAGGTGGAGGCGACTTTGGCCCTTCTTGTACAGGGCGTTGATGTAATGTCCAGTTTATTGTTAACGTGAACACCCAGGTACTTGAAGCTGTCCACCAGCTCAATGCCCTCCTCCTGGATGTTCAGCAGCGTATGGGAAAGTGGTCCTGGGTTCGAATCCCAGTCAGAACAAAGCCTGAGTGGAGTTTGCAGGTTCTCCCCAAGTCTGCGAAGGTTTCCTCCAGGTCATAGGGTTTCCTCTGGGTGCTCTGGTTTTCCTTACTACAAAAACATGTACAATAGGTAAAATCCTGGAGGATACAAAATTAATCATTTTAAATCATTGTAAGAATATAGTACATTCACAGATTTTGGTCTCAAGGCTTTAGAAAAATATGTAAACAACATGCTTTGCAGAGTACAATGTTTTCAAGTAGAACATTGGTTGTGGGTTCGATCCCCTCACAACTCATGTCATATGCTCCCACTGAAGTCTGCTGTCATTGTGTCCCTGGGAACTTAACCCCACATTGCCCAAAGCCCCCGCTGAAACACCAAGGCCGTATCTCTGTCTAAGCAGCAGCCATCTTCTCGTGGACCCACTACCTCAAGGAGGAACAGCAAAGGGCCGGTTCTTACGTGATTTTTGTGGCAGCTCTGATTGCCACCCCCCCAACCCAGAAATTGAATAATAAAGGGGATGAAAATAACATGACACTTGTAGTGCAGGAAAAGAGCAGCACTGGGGAGTTACAAATACATACTGGAAATACGTATTTACAATAATATTTTTATGAAACTTATTTTGGTTGTTTTCTGAACACATGTTTGCATTTCATCATGAGATTGTCACTATGGATAATAGCATATTTCATAAAAACAAATGAAAACAAAGATGGCGCCTCGTACGGTCGACATGGCTCTTTGCTGCTCTCTTTTTCTTTTGTTTTTACTTTTTAACTGTGCATCTGGCTGTTCCTACACCCGTGAGGAACTTATGAACATCCGACCCACCGTTCCCATGGACCTATTGCCTGTTTTCTTGGCATCTGCGGCTGATTTAGTTCATGTTCTAGCCAAAAAAGTGTGGGCCCGTAAAAGGGGAAAGCGCGGAGGCCTGCTGGTGCGTCTGAGGAGAAGAGGAGCGCGCACGGCTCTCCCCGGCATTTTTCTCTCCAATGTACGCTCACTGGGCAATAAGATGGACGAACTCAGCCTGCTCATGAGAAGAAACAAGGACTTCGCCACATCCTGTGTCCTCTGCTTCACTGAGACCTGGCTAAATGAGCGGATCCCGGACTGCGCTCTGGAACTGCAGGGCTTTGGGCTGTTCCGCGCGGATCGCCATTGTGCGCTCTCAGGGAAGAGCAGAGGCGGTGGACTGTGTTTCTACGTCAATACAAACTGGTGTAACGATGTGACAGTGATCTCCAAGCACTATTCTCCTGCTCTGGAATATCTTTTCATCCATTGTAAACCATTTTACTCCCCTCGTGAAATTGTTTCATTCATTCTTGCCTCTGTTTACATACCGCCATGCGCGGACGCGCGCGAGGCTCAGCGCGCACTCGCAGAGCAAGTACTGTGTATGGAACGTTTATACCCGGACTCTCTGATTATTATCCTGGGGGATTTTAATAAGGGAAACTTGAGCCAGGAATTACCCAAATACAGACAGTTTATCAAATGCCCGACCAGAGAGGAGAACACTCTGGATCACTGTTACACCACCGTGCGCGGAGCTTTTCGCGCTGTTCCCAAGCCAGCCCTCGGCTTCTCAGATCACTCCATGATACATCTGGTTCCTGCTTACAGACAGAGACTAAAGCTCTCGAAACCTGCAGTGAGGAGCTCCAAAGTGTGGTCTGATGAAGCTGTGGAAGAGCTGCGCGCATGCTTGGAATCTACAGACTGGGACCTTTTCAGAGCTGCCACAGATAGTTTGGATGAATATACGGACACTGTGACATCATACATTCACTTCTGTGAGGATAGCATCATTCCAAAGGACCAGGGTCATCTATAACAACGACAAACCCTGGTTCACTGCTAAACTCCGGCAGCTCAGGAAAGCAAAGGAGTCTGCTTTCAGGGAGGGGGACCGCAGCGGCTACAAAGCAGCTAAATATCAGTTCAGGAAAGAACTGAAAGCAGCCAAGTCCCGGCACAAAGAACGACTACAGGAGCAGTTTGGTAACAACGATACTGCTTCTGTCTGGAGGGGCCTACGGGAGATCACCAACTACAAACCCAAAGCCCCCCCCTGTGCTGACGACCACAAGCTAGCTGACGAACTGAACTTATTTTTCAGTCGCTTTGATGCTGCCCCTGACACCTCTCCCTCCCCCACCCCCCACTACTCTAACGACCCACCCATCAGCCCTGCCCCCAGCCTAACAATAGCCGCTAAAGAGATTAAACAACTCTTCTTGAGGCTGCACCCCCGCAAAGCTCCTGGCCCGGACCACGTGTCTCCGGCCACTCTGAGACACTGCGCCAGTGAGCTTACTCCTGTGTTCACTGACATTTTCAACTCCTCTCTGCAGTCCTGCCATGTCCCGGCCTGCTTCAAATCCTCCATCATTGTCCCCGTCCCGAAGAAGCCCAGGATCACAGGACTCAATGACTACAGACCTGTAGCACTTACGTCTGTCGTCATGAAGTCATTTGAACGCCTGGTTCTCTCCCATCTCAAGTCCCTCACCTCCCCCCTCCTGGACCCCCTGCAGTTCGCCTACAGAGCCAACAGATCTGTAGACGACGCCATTAACCTGGCCCTCCACCACATCCTACAGCACCTGGACTCCCCGGGGACCTACGCCAGGGTCTTGTTCGTGGACTTCAGCTCTGCCTTCAACACAATCCTGCCATCCCTGCTCCAGGACAAGCTCTCCCAGCTCAACGTGCCCAATTCCACCTGCAGGTGGATCACTGACTTCCTGACGGACAGGAAGCAGCGAGTGCGTCTGGGGAAGAATGTCTCGGACTCTCGGATTATAAATACAGGAGCCCCACAGGGCTGTGTTCTTTCTCCCCTGCTCTTCTCCCTGTACACCAACCACTGCACCTCCAGCCACGACTCCGTGAAGCTGATCAAGTTCGCGGACGACACCACCCTCATTGGACTCATCTCCAACAACGATGAGTCCGCCTACAGGAGGGAGGTGGACCGGCTGGTGTCCTGGTGCAGTGGTAACAACCTGGAGCTGAACGCCCAGAAGACAGTGGAGATGATTGTGGACTTCAGGAAGAGCACTGTCCCCCCGCCCCC